CAGACACAGGTCCCTGGTCAGCAGTGCTGGGTAGCACTGGCCAGTAGTGCCATTTACTACCAGTCACTAGCATTTCACCCCTTTGTAAAGGTGTGAAACCAATGACAAATAGCCCTTCAGATACCAGACCCGGGACCCAGTGCTCACTCCTTTCAGGTCACGTCAGAGGAAGACCAGGGCAGGCAGCGGCCCCACGTCTAGGCAAAGCTCTCTGTTCTTCTTACTTCAGAGGTCAGCTGCTGGATTTGCTTCTTTCTTTGGAGGTCAGGAACAAAATCCACCTTACGAAGAGTGTGTCACTCTGAGTCTGAGAGAGTCCAGTGATAGCTCTCTGCTGGCTCCTGCTCTGGCTTCTATTTCAGAGCCTCCCCCACCTCCAGTCGACTGGACTGTTTTCAATCCTGTGGCTAATTGGACTGTAGCACCAACCAGCTCATGGCTTATACCTGACGGGTCCATTCTACCATCCAGGCACCAAATTCACGAGCCTCTCTACTGCCTGCAGCTGAAGGAGACAGAATGCTGGAGCTGGCCCCAGGGGCCTCACGCTCCTCCCTGCAGCTCTGACCCCGGGCCAGCGTGCCCTGAGGCTGCGTGGTGGGGGAACCACCACTGTCCACCATCACTGCTGGCCTCCCAGTCGCCTGAGCCCCAGTGAGGTGACTGGTGGCAGCAGTTAAATCACACTACCCGCTGCCACTAGCACTGCCCACAGCAGTGCCCTGGGGCCTGGCGGCTGAATCCCCAAGGTGGTAGGGGTGCTCTGATTTCAGATCCATTCTAACCAGTTAACCTCTGTCTCTCTCTAAATATATATATATATAAATTCTCCTCACCGCTTCAGAGCTCTTCCTGGATTTCGGTTCCAGGCCACAGAGAGTCCCTAATTTAACTAATTATTAGTTTATGTGACTTCAATTAAACCTAATTCCATTTACTCACATATCATAATAGCTACTTATTATTATACATAAGAGATTGGCAGGTCTGGAGTTTTTGTTTGTTTGTTTTTCATTTGAAATGAGGAACACAAGTATCTTTTTATACAAGAGGAAAAATGCTTGACTTTATCAGTAGATATTGCTCTTGCAGCAACCTTTTAATGAACTAAGGATTTCTTTATCTTGTGCATCAATAGAAATTTAAAGTACATTGTAATATTTTGAATGGTATTAAAATATTAATAGTTAGGCCCTCCCTGGTGGAGCAGCGGGTTAAAGCACAGCACCAAGAGGCAAAAACCATTTCAGCATGAGTTCAATCCCTGCCCAGGAGGTGACCACACGGTGAGGCAGACCTCTCCTGACCCTCCCGCTGCTCCCCTCAGCAGTGTACTTCATTGATCAGCCTGTTCTGCTCCTTGCTCTGTCTCTGGTGAATCCTCTAGCCTATACCCCAGTTCTGTATACATAAGTAAATAAATAAATCTTTAAAAAAATTCACTACAACTACAGATACAAAAAACCAAGTGGTTGAGTTAAAAGTACCAAATTTCTAATTTGCCTTTCATACTAATTTACCATTTATTAAATTATTTATTGTCTACTGATATTGGCTAGCAAACAAGCATTAGTGATATTAAAGACAGAAAAACCTTAAAATTAAGCACGTCCTATGTAATATTTTGGGTTTTTGTTTTTAATCTGAAAATTGAGACTTCAGGAAAACAACTATATTTGAAATAACAAAAAGTCGTTCTAGAGGAGCTTTGACAATTCCTAACTTTCTAGAAAATATCTGTATCTCTTGACATATTATAAAAGGTTTTTCCAACATGGTCTTCACCTTCATCTCTTCCTACACTACCTCACTGCTACCACACAGAAGTAGTTGTCTATTCCCAAAGCACACCTTATGCATTGCTTAGCCCTCTTCCTTCTGAAATATTCTTTCCTGCTTTACCATTTGACTCTTCAAAGACCATCTAACTTCCATGTTATCTTTCTGAGTGTTCAGTCCATTAAAGTGCCATGAGAACTGACAAATGTATATCTCACTAAATATTCTATTTCCCTCATAAACATAAAGCCAGACACATAGAAAATGCTCCATAAATATTCCCTTCTCAAAGTCTCAATACACTTGTCTACCTGCTCACCTTACTGTGCTGGAATTATTTTTAGTAACTTACCTTCACACTCTCCCTCCCCTGTATACTATGAGTTCTTAAAGGTAAAAGTTAGGTCTTTACCACACAGTGGATGTTCCATGAGTATCTTTTTAAATTTAGATGACTTGAGAACACATTCTCTGAATTTATGATATTCAAAATCTTAAGAAAATGAAACAATTTACTAAAATACTATGTGACAAGTTAAAAGTGGGTTGTGTATACAATATCATGAAAAGTTTAAAAAGATTTATTGATTTATGAATACAACAACTGGGGTACAGGCCAGAGGCATGCACTGGTGGTGAGAGGACTCCCCAGAGACAGTGGGGAGCAGAACAGGCAGAACTACTGAAATACACCTCCCTGGTTGGGGATCAAACTTGTGTTGCAGCAGCTGAGGACAGTGTCATAGTGCTGTGCTTAACCTGTTGCACCACGGGGAGGGTATTTACCCTAGATCATTTGAGCTGGCTCTTGAAAAATAAGATTAAGTTCACCATGAGAAGGAAAAGAGGGATTCAAGGCTAAGGCTAAAGGAAAACTGAGGTGGGGGGTTGTTGGGCGGGGAATGCCATTAGCACTCACAGTGGGTAAATGTGGTTCTCCATGGCAGCAAGTGGTTGTGGGAAGGCTGAAAAATGTTCTGGGCCTGGCACACCTCTTTATCTGGACTTTCTTCCAACATGAGCAAGAAGCTGACTGTGTCTTACTCAGAGTGTTCTCTTCTCCCCTATTTCCCAGCAACACACAGGTAAGGGAATTGTCCAGTCATAGGTATGACATGTGAAGAAAGGTCCTCATAAGAACCACCTTAAACACCTGACTTGTGTTCTAACCTATGAGCAGTCTGTCCACATCAGTACTACGCAAATTACATACTGAAACTGAAGTCAAGAATGTGGCGGAACCAACAAAGCTGGTTTCTTTGGAAAGTCAGCATCATTGACTTAAAGATTCCTGGCGTTCATAAAGTCGTCCCTGATTGTCCCAGTCCAAAGAAATCTCTCCTCTGAAATCTTCTGTAACATTAGGGTTGTTCGTCCTCATTCCTGGTATCATCCGTTTTATAATTGTCCCCTTACTTTCAAAGCCTCTTTCTAATATAAAGCAGCTTTACAAGACACCTGCAGAGCAAGATAGGGTATAAATCAATCACCAAAATCTTGCTGGATTTTAAGTTTTAAGAGGGGTGGACCCAAGTCCCAGTAACCTCTATAAGCCCCATAGTGCTCAGCAAAACTTATGTTGAATAAATGTATATACTGATGGTAATATGGTAAAGTAAGAATACTCGTTGGCTTTTAAAAAAAGTTAATACTTTATGATTTTTTTCTTGAAAGTCACCTCTTTAGTACAGGATTCACATATATGTTTATCTTTTATTTTTTTAAACTTCATCTCTTCTAAATATGCCCCCACTCTATGTGGCTGCTGCTCTTTAACTTGATTTGCCAAAGTCTCATCCCTTTCTAGGTCTTTTTGGAAAAACAACCCTTAGATCTATTTATTATGACTTTTTTTTGTTTTCTAATAGAAAAATGATATATTTTTTCAGCAAAATTATAGTGAAACTACAAATAAACAAAACTAGTTGATATTCACAGCGACACAGTCTTGTATTAAAATACTAAGTGCACAGTAATCAGCATAATCACAATAAATTAAAGATATACTGGTATTTTAATGGAGAGGGAATAACAAAAATACTTTTAAAATACCACATTTAAAATACCATCATTACCACAGAACATGAAAACATTTCCATAGGAAAATGAACAATTTTCACATGGACATTAAATTTTTTAGCCTACTTTCAACTTATATTCTGAAAAATTGACATTCCACTAAAGTTTATAGACTAGCCATTCTTTTATTCTATGGGCCCACAAAGATTAGTCCTATCACAGGCAATTATAAGGAGCACTTTCTCACTTTCTTTAGAAAAAAAGTAAATTCAAACTAATATTTAATCTTAATTGGCAATACATTTAGTGCAAATAAAATAATAGTTAGCAGCTTAGAAAATTCCAGGTGGAGAGCCACAGACTTCTTAACTCTTACTACTTCCCTAGAGTCAAATCTCTATTTTCAAGAGTATGAATCTCGGTCATTAAAACTTATTGAGAATGGCTGTTTTATATACTCAGGGCACTTCATGAAAAATGGATTCAGACGTCATACAATGAGTCACACAGTTTTTACATTTGGACGATTCCCCGTAGGTTGATTTAAAAATAAGCAGACCTGAATGTTAGTCATCTTACCCAAATATTTCTCTAAGAGTAGAAGGGATCAAAATAAGGTACTGATGATTTCACAATTTAGCCACCATAGGTTGTATTCAAAGGAAGCCCTGAGAACAGAGAATCTCTTAAATCGGGTTCTACTCTCCAGTAATAATCTGATTTCACTGATTTGAATGTCAATGAAAAAAAAAAGAAAGAAAGAAAGAAAAAAGAAGAGGAGCCATCTGACTTTAAACCTGGTGCTTTCCACCCTTAGCCAAGATTCACTCTCCAAATGAATAGAAGCCAAAGAGCTACCAGCCAGCAAGGATTTTGTCTGAGCTTCATCAGTTCCCCGAATTGCCTCTTTTTATTAGACATCTGTTCCCTCTCTGGCCAAGGCTGCTTCAAGAAACAATGTGGTTTATTGTGCCCAGACCCATGGTGGCAAGGAAAAAGGAAGAACACCTCCTAGGTTTTAAGTACCCCATTTTGCCCTTGTCTTGAGCCATCATCTAGCTTGGTTGACTCCTGCAGTCCAGGATGCACTGGTAAAATCCAGGGAGGTAAATAGTCGGCAAACCAGCTCATTTGATCTTTCTTTAACAACCACTTGGCAACTTTTCTATTCCTCGTGAATTCCCTTACTGAAGACTTCAAAAGGTGCAGCAGTGACTGCATGTCGCCACCTCAGTCACTGTACTCTTGTCTTTCCCGTGGAGTGGGGAGTATGTCATACTGATTGGCCAATTTCCATTTGTTGTGCTGAGCTTTGAGGAGTGCAGCCAAAGAAGTCTTTCGAGTCACATTTCTAGGTATATCCCCGCTCTTTGCCTTCCTGGTGGGGGAACAACTTCGGACCAAGGGATAAACAGGGAAAATGGGCTTGCCCGGAGGGGCTTTCAGTAGTTGCCATATTTCCCCAGAGGTATTACTGGTCAGATACTGCCATGGCTTCTTCCCACTGTGGTCCCGGATGTTCACCTGAGAAGCCAACCTTTGCACCAGCAATTTAATGACCCCCTGGTGGCCATGGATTGCTGCAAGGTGCAGAGGGGTATATCCACAACTGGACTTCACATTTACATCAAGAGCGATCCCTGCTCTCTGCGCCCCCGCGACTAAGTTCTGAAGAGCCACCAGGTTGCCATGTTTGGCTATCCAGTGCAAGGCAGTAAACCCCGTCAAGAAGTCTCTGTGCAAGGCCAGCTGAGGGTCCTGACAGAACAAACGCAAGGCCTGCACCCAAGAGCCACTGGCAAGTGTCACAATCCACTCGTGCTCCCTGGCATCTAGGGGAACCAGGGATGACTTGTGCTCAGAAAGTCGGTGGGGGGCCAACGCTGAAGGTTCTTCTGCACCCCGAGGCCATGAGTTGTGTGGATGACCCCCACCAGCAATAGCAGCCTTAACATTTGCAGGTTTGAGTGTCAAAGCAGCATCTACCCTAGGGCTGGATATGGCTGCTGCCTTCGAGGGCTTCCTAGACCGTGGTGGGCGCCGGCTCCTTTTCAAGTCCTCCTCAAGGTGCTCCTCATCTGAGGAGGAAAATTTGGCTCTCCCTGCACGAAAGCTCCTTCTGAGGGATCGCCTCAACTTGGGGGCTGGCGAGGGCACAGTTTCCTGGGGGTGGGCTGCATGCCCATTCGTTGTTAGGACCAGCTGAGAGGTGTGACTCTCTCCTCTCTTGCTGATGTCCTGCTGGGGGCTCTTGCAGGGCCCCTCCTTTGGAGAATGACCCCCAACTGCATTCCTCAGCTTTCTCCAATCTGGGGTTCCCAGGGCAACCTGCAGTCCTTCTTCAGAACCCCCAGGGGACTCTTTGGGCCCGCTGCTGCTCTCCTCACTGCCGTGGCTCTCCTGGTCCACAAAGTCATCCATATCTTGAAGGGACAGCTGACAGCGAATGCTACGAAAGACTGTCAAGGGAGAGTTGCCGGTCACGGATTCGGGAGTTAGGGGAACAAGGGAATGGGAGGCAAGAGTAGAGTCCTGCGACGCTGGGTTAGGTTTTGAGATGCAAAAGTCCAACTCAGAGGGTAGCCTGGGAAAGTCATTTGGCAGCACTGACCATGCTCGGGTGGGGCCCTGTTCGCGTGCCACGGGTATCTGGGGGTGTCTGGCCACCCATTCCCGTGTGCGCTGTTGCTGCTGCTGCAGGGTGGAGTAAGACTGAGAGCCCGGAGTCAGCATTTCCAATAGTTCTCCAGGGGAAGTAGGACAGGACGCGAAAGCAGGAGGGGAAGCGTCACTCCCAGCAGCTTCGACGGTTGCAGCGGGCGAGCGGGACGCTGATGGCACCCGCGTGGACTCAGCGGCTGCGTTTTGCAGCTGCTGCCTGGGAACCTCTCGTTCATCCTGGACCCGCGGAGCCCGCGCTGGCTTCTCCCCGGCCGTGACTGGGTCGGGGACTGCGCCGAGCAGCGGCTCACCCGGCTGTCCCCGAGGGCCGTCCTGGAGGCCTTCCCAGCAGCACGGGCCCTGCGCCTGCTCCGCCGCGCACCTCACTCCCGCCTGGGCCACCGCGGGCGCAGCCGCGGGCTCCCGCGCCTTGTGACCAGAGCTGCCCCGGCGCTCGCCGCCTCTCGCGGCCGCCTGCCGGCCGCCT